CTTGGCTCCTTGGAAGAGCACTGCTAGGTGGAGCCGTTGTGGAAACCCCCTCCCACCTGTCTAAGCAGGCTAAAGCTCTCTACCAGCAAACCTGGGGAAATCTTGGCTGTGCTTTCCCCTGGGGAAGGGGATCAGGTGTGGGAACCCTAAGTGGGCTGGTCCCTTTATAAGGTTCCTACTGCCAGAGGCCTTGTCTCATGGGGGGTAGAATTTTCTACAGGGTTTCCAGTGTAATAAGAAAAATTCACTGAAGGACAAGGAAAACTTATGAGAGCTTTTGGTGCCAAGCTTCTTGGAATTCAGGTATCCAGAGGGCCTCAAGCACAACCTGGGAAGCTCATTGACTCTGTGAAGGTTCTCAGCTTCTTTTTTTTTTGAGTTGGAGTCTCATTCCGTTGCCCAGACTGGAGTGCAGTGGCCTCCTGGCCACCGCAGCCTCGACCTGCTGGGCTCCGGCGATCCTTCCGCCTCAGCCTTCCAAGTAGCCGGAATTACAGGCATGCACTACCACGCCCGGCTGATTTTTTGATCTATTGTAGAGATGAGGTCTCACTGCCCAGGCGGGTCTCGAACCCGCGGGCTCAGGCAATCCACTCACCTCAGCCTCCCAAAGGCGCGGGATTACAGGCTGAGCCACCGAGCCCGGCTGGGTATCACACATTTAAACAATTTTTTATTTTAGATTCAGGGAGTGCATGTGCAGGTTTTTTTTTTTTTTCTTTTAAGAGATGAGGTCTCACTGTGTTGCCTAGGCTTGTCTCAAACTCTTGACCTCCTGGGCTCAAGCGATCCTCCCATCTTGTCCTCCCAAGGTGCTGGGATGACAGGTGTGACCCACCACATCCGGCTCCATGGGCAAGTTTGTTACATGGGTATATGGTGTAATGCTGAGGTTCGAGCTTCTGTTACACTCATCACCCAAATAGTGGGTACCAAACTCTGAGAATCACGGCTTCAGATAGACTTTGCCTCCCATCTGCCTAGGTCTAAATGCCAGCTCTGCCCCTTCCTAGCTGTGTGGCTATACACAAGTTACCATGTCTCTGTGCTTCAGTTTTCCTATGGATGAGAATAGCAGCATCATTCACTTCCTAGGGCTGTGGGAATGAACAACTATAAATAAAGCATTCAGAGCAGTCACAGTACGTAATAAAGGCTACGTGAAGTTGACTTTATTATTAGACTTTCCTACGTTGGGAGAAATGAGAAAGATATAAAGAAAATTTAGATCAAGTTTCGATGATAATATGCAGTAAAGCAATAACATTTAAACTCCGAGAGAGAACGCTCATTTTGCATTTTTATGTGCCGCTCTCCTCATCACTATGATAAATTAGATTTGAGATTGGTTAAGGTCATTAGAATTAGTTATTACGATTTTGAAAAAATACTGTGCAGAACATTTTTATGACTGAAGCCGACTTCTGACAAATCAGATGTATCTTGTGAACTGGGTTTAGAACCAGCGACAGGGCTAACAAAAGCATTACTGCCACCTGGTGGCAGCATACCAAAATTGTTGGCAAAAGCGCCAAAAAAATGTGTCAGCCTCTTCAGGGCTGAACTTGCAAACCTTAAATCTGAATTAAGTTAGAATGACGCAGCTCCGGAGAAGGCAACGCGTCCTTAGCGGCTGGGGAAAGAGGCTCAGAGCCGAGGAAGAGCACGTACCAGGATGAAGGAGGCTGACTGTCTGGCCGAGAGGCTGTTTTCAGGAGAGAGGGTGGTCATGGCCCCTGCTAGCTGTCTTCACAGCAGCCTCTGACCAGAACCCACTTGGAGCTCTGGTGATGCTTAACGAGCAGGGGAAGATGATCTTCCTTCTAGGAGATGAGTTACATCCCCAAGAGGAAGTGGGCCCTCCCCTGACCTTCCTGACTTGACCAGGGCAGCCAGCTGTGTGTCACAAGGCCCCTGGAACCTTCATCACAATGACCTTGGAGCATGGGAGTGCTCACCTTCAGAGGTAAGACACACGGGAGCCAGGGGCGCGACCTACTGGCCACCCAGAAAAATGGCAACACAGGTAGCCGAGGTTGCATTCAGATGACGTTGGTGTGGGCTGGGCTGGGCATTCCGGGAGAGGTGGCCATCCCGGGAGAGGTGGTCATGAAGCTTTTCTCCTCATCTCTGGCTCTCCCTCTGGACTCCCTTGACTTGTTATTTGACTAGACCAATACCCAAATCTGGCAAATACCTAGAATCCAGGGTTCAGCTGTCTTGGGTACCACACTCAAAGATTCGGAATCAAGATGTCTGGGCTGGGGCCCCAGTGAATGGATTTTGGTAAATCTCCCCAGGTTACTCAGATTCGGCTCTTGAATGGTAGTGAAAGCATGAAATGCCAAAATGGATGGATTTAATGAAATAATCTTAACTAAAGTGCTGCCTAGATCTGTCATGTTTTCTTAACAAATTATCTAGTCTATCCTCTAATCACTAGCCCAGGACAGAACCAGTTTCTCAGAGGTAGCCACTGATGATTGTTTTTACAACACCCTCCCCAGCTTGTCTTGTATTACTTAGCTTTTCTATTCCAAGTAGTTGCCTCCAGTCTTAAGAAACCAAGTTAACCTAATCAGCCCTTTGTGACACAGGCAGACCCGTCATCATAGCAACAGTCATATGACTAGCCCACCCATCCGCCTGCTGGCCATCATCGTGATATCAGGGCCTGTGCTTTCCTGTACCCTTCATGGTGATGTGAGAGATCACCACCCAATCACCTTAATGCCCTGCCCCCATCAAGGGAAGGTTTAAAAGGAATTCAACCTCAAACAGCAGCTGCCATTGTTTTTGTTAGGCTCTGGCCAGGCCATGTGGTCTTTGAGCTATGGCCGCCATGTTTTCCTAGCTTTGATCCCCTCTCCTGCCTAGGAGAGGTGAATCTTTTCTCTCCTTCCCTTTCTAAATAAACTATATTTTTAAATCTAATTTTTGTGTAATTCTTTGCATCTTTTGTATGACACCAGATCACAGATCTCCCCCATTCTGACCTAAAAGGTAGCTTCTGGAGTGGACACCAGTTTTACTTATCTTTATATCCAGAGTACTTAAGACAGTGCCTGAGCAGTTGAATGAATTATTTTATTGACTGGGAGAACACATGAACTTGTCTTCTATCTCATCTAACTTCCTCTCTGTGTATATTAAAGACATTTGTGTTGCCCGTCCTTCTCTTCCCCCCTCCTCCCCACCCCAGAGTTCCTCTAGGTCATGGTCAATGTCAGATCCTTTCGCGCTTCCCTCTCCTGCTGCCAGTCCTGCTGCCACCCGGCACTTGGTGGGTGTTCAGTATTTGCTGCCTGGACCCAAGGAGCTGGCTCCGCCTGGCACCAGCATCACTGGTCTCTCCCTTCAGCATGGCTTGTGATTCTTCTCAGGTCCCACCTGGCTCTAAAGCATCCCTACTCATTAGGAGACAGTCATTAGACGAACCAGATTGGAATCCGGAGCTGGGAGCTGGAATGTGGACTCTGACCTCAAATTTGGATGCTCCCCTGCCCCCTCCTCCTTCTGAGCCACAGATTCCCTAGCCGTGAAATCAGAACAGTCAACCCCTGGCTGTCACATCCTTATTAGCATTATGAATCAGCATCCGCACAAAGTCTTTGGTGGACACAAGTCATTGTCTCATTTACTGTAACTGTTCTGCTGGCCACTGCTGCTGCAGGGGACCTTTTAAACCAAAACACCTTATCATCTGTCCCTTCCGTGACCCACTACCCCACCCCATCCTAGGAAAGAGTCCAGGGCCTCTTCTCTTTAAGCTGCTGCCCCTGGGTCTTCCTGGAGCGGGAGGTGGGCAGCTTTGAGTAGGGAGAGGGTAGGGTAAAGACGCGGCTCCCTCCCCATGGGGATGGCTTCCTTCTGAAGTCTGCAAGAGGCTTCCAAAGCAGATGTCCAGAGCGAGCAAACAACGTGTCCTGGACATCACCCGTCATCTGGGATTATCTATGCTTCTCTTCCTCCACATTAACCGTGGGGGCGGTGGAGAATGTGCTGCAAATTTTTTGCTGGAGAAGATGAGGGTCAGGGAGGGAATTGGAACAATCTGAACACTAAATCCAACAAAGCTCTTGAGACAAACATGGTGGTCATAGAGCATCCACTGAACTTCCTCTCACCCCTGGCTTCCTGTCTGTGAACTACAGGTAATGGCCCTTCCTCAAATTAGCCAATAGAGTTTAGTCGTATTGCAAATGCCTCACAGTAACCACATGGAGACAAGATTCAAACGGCATCGCAGGGTGAAGCAGAAAGGACTTTGATCCACCCCTGCTTCTTTTTCTGATTCTTAAAGGGATTGACTTGCGTCAATTCTTTTCCAGGGCTGAATGGTCCTTGCCATGTCGATTTATTCACAGAATTGCCCGAGTGTTTTCAATGTCCATGTACTATTTTCTTTTATGCATTGTCCAGTCTCTGACGGGAATCCAGCTTTCTGCTTTACATTTCTGCACATGTAGATTCTTTAGGGCACAAGAATTCTACTTTTAAAGATATTTGTCAGGCGCGGCGGCTCATGCCTGTAATCCCAGCATGTTGGGAGACTGAGGCAGGAGGATTACTTGAGCCCCAAAATTCAAGACCAGCCTGGGCAACATAGCAAGACCTTGTCTCTACAAAAAAATAAAAAAATTATCTGGGCGTGGTGGCGTGTGCCTGTAGTTCCAGCTACTCTGGAGACTGAGGTGGGAGGATGGCCTGAGCCCAGGAGGTCGAGGCTGCTGTAAGCCGTGATTGCATTGCTGCATTCCAGCCTGGGCAACAGAGTGAGACCACCATCTTCCTATATATATATATATCTTTTGCATTTTGATAAATCTCCCCAGGTGACTCAGCTTTGGTACTTGAAAGGTGGCTTCTAGGGTGAAGACCAGGTTTTCTTATCTTTATATCCAGAGCACATAAGACAGTGCCTAAGCAACTCAGTGAATGACTTAAATGACAAAGAGAATAAATGAAGTTGTCTTCTATCTCATCTGACTTCCCTCTCTGTGTATATTAAAGAGATTTGTGCACGCATAGCCCCCCTCCATCCAAAGTTCCTCTAGCCCATCTTTTTTCAGCTGAATCTGGCTGTTCATCAACTGATGGGGCTGTGATGTGAGGAGGGACAGCAGGTTTGGAGGGGTCTGGGAAAGACCACTTATCCTCAGACACCCAGTGTCTGTGCAGGGAGAAAGCTTATGAGGGGGGAGTTATTTTTTGTAGGGCAGGCCCCTTATAGCACAGGCTTCCCCCACTAGGTAAGTGTCTTAGGAGCCCATCGGCATCCATGTCCCAGCTAGAGGTGTTGTGAGAGGCTGCGTTCAGCTTCAGTGAAATTTTTTTGGAGATTTTTGAACACATTTTGCCCATTTCATAGTGGGTGATTTACGAGTGCACCTGTCCACATTGCACTGAGCGTTCAGCAGTTTTTGACCAAAAACAGTATGACCCCCATGCCTCACCCTCCCTATTCACCCGACCTCGCCCCGAGAGACCTTTTTTTGTTTCCTCGATGAAAAAAGCCATCCAAGGGAAATGCTTTGCTGATGTGGAAGAGGTGAGACAAAGAACAACAGAAGCACTAAAAGGCATCCAAATGGACAAGCTCAAAAACTGTTTCGAGCAGTGGAAAGAGCGTCTTGATAGCTGTATTGCATCCACGGAGAGAACTCTGAAGGTGACTGAAGTGTTAACGTGTAAGAATAAATACACAATTTTTTATTAAAAAACTCTGGGGTTTTTGGGTCCCCCCCTTCCATAGGCTTGCTTTGGTGCCAAAGAGACCTGGTTCAAATCCCGACTCTGCCACTCACCAACGATGTGACCTTGGTCCTCTGTTGGGAAGGACAGGCCCATGCAAGCCTTGACCCCGGAACTCTTCCTCTCCAAGGGAGAAGGATTCCTCAGAGCTTGTGCTGGGCTGACCGCCTGTGTGGGAATATCCCTTCCCTGTTCCAGGCTCCGCGAGGACGTCTTGTTCTGCTTAAGCTCGTCATTACGTGGCACCTGGCTAACTCCCCCATGTCTGTTCCTGGTGGAGTGGGAGCAGGATGCAAGTGGACAGGGTTACTCTAAAAGCAGGGAAGGCCTGAATTAGAAACCAAGTTCACCCCAGTTCCCCTCATGCCGGTGCTACGTGACACAACTCTGCAATCAATGCCACGCAACCACGGCCCTGTTAACAGGTACCAGCGTCTTCAAAGGAGACCTACCGGTGACCGTGTGAGTCTGGGGCCCTCCAGTTCTTGGGAGGAATTCCATGCATCCTGATTCATTTCTTTACAAGGTGCCCGAGCTCTTTCAGGCTTAAGCTGTACTTCCCTCTTGGCTCCTTCTGTGGGGAGCCAGGATAAGTTTAGATTTGGCACGACGGACTTTCTGCCTTTGACCCCAGGGAGCACGGCACTGGTGACCATGCTGGGGACGGCTGCTGGTCATGTGTGAGAGGAGCAGGCACCCCTGTGGTGGAGACAGCTCTCTTCTGAGCACCAAGATGGTTGGATCATCCCTCGGCCAGCTCAGTCACCCTGGAAGTCCCCTGGCATGGTTGGAGGGCCAAAGGGCTGTACCTCAAGCCATCAGTACGGTCTGGGGTCCCCTTCTGGATGGCTTTCCTGGGAACCGGGAATAACCCGGAAGAGTAGCCCAGAACAAAAGCAACACACCCAAAACTCAACCTGGGCGGTCGAGGCTGTCCCTGGGTGCTCTCTGCACCCAGTCCTGCTCCCTAAGGTCCTCCTCATGGTTCCTGCCTTGTGTTCCCCAGCTCAGGCTCCTGGGACATCGCCAAGTCAGTAGATCTGACTAACCAAATATCTCCTGTTCCTTTGGGTCTCAAGTTCCCCTCTTGCCTCTATATCCTCCAGCCTCCCCCACCCCA